CAATCCCAGCTACTTCAGCAAGACTCTGCTGAGGGGAGAAAAAAAAAATCATGCGGAGAAATTAGTTCACGTTAAGCTTAAAAATATTGTTGTTCCTTCCTTTACATTATTTGCTGATTGATTCCTGATTCGGGGTCTTTATGGGAATTTTGTATGATAGGCACTTCTGCAGCAGGCAAAGTGACAGCGAGTCTCGGGTGGATTTCTGGACAAGGGAATAATATTGTATCATCGTGTCTGCACGGTGCCCTCTCCATGCACAATAGCTCTGAGTGGCAGTGCATGGTAAGCGGATGAAGCAGTAAGAAGTGTATGATCTGATGAGCTTGGCTAAGCTGGGGGCGTCTCCTCTACTCGGCTAAATTAAAAACCTCCCTGCAATTTCAGCCCTAATCACCCCCTCTGATGCTGTAATTGATGATGGTCAGTTAACTCCTTCGCTCCCAAGGCCATTTATCAGAATCTAAGGAACTGTGCTTTAGCCCGCTTCTCATAGCTTACATCACTTGGATTTAGCTTTTTCTTTTTTTTTTGAAAATTTAGAAATATTAAATAAGTGATATGAAGTATACAGAGAGTCACAGCGTAAATATTTCATGGCAGGTCTCTGGTTACTTTAGAGCCATGGTGCCTCACTCCCAAGTGGCACAAGCTGTCTTTAAGCCTGGTTTGTGGAAAATCTCTCCTCTCCAATGGCACCGAGACATACATTGGCTTCTCTGCCACTCTCCTCCCTGTGGCTGGCACAGGCAACATGCCAGCAGCATTATTACACCCTTGCACCTCCCAGCTGGCAAAACAGCCCTTTGCAGCCTTTACCAGTTGGTGCAAGCTGCTCTAACTTGTGTTGAGAAACCAAACCAGAAAAGAAAGTCCTATTTGCATTTTCAGCCTGATTCCAGACACAGCCCCTGTATGCTCTACATACAGGCTTACTGTTAGCTCCTACACAACATGTTCCAAACTTAATAACAAAGGTGTGACTAGAGCTGTTAAAATGATTCCAGAGCTGAAACATCTTTCCATTCCACCTTCTATTTATAAAGGTTTGTAAGGAATTGTCTGTATAGTGCATTGTTCTTCTCTTGCAGAATTCTTTAAGTCTGACTCATACAGAGGAAGAAAAAAATCTATAAGATGTGATATATGTTTATACTCAGCTGAATAAGAGGCTTTACAGCATGGGGAAATCTATAGCATGAATTATTCTAACTGATTTATAATAGACAGCAATGCCTTAAGGACACTATTCTGACTACTTGTGCTTTCATAACAGGGTCGATGTACTAGCTGCATCATATTCAGTAAGTAGAGTATCCAAAGTTTATGTCCATATACCAGTTTTAGAATGACAGCCTATTACTGTACTTTAGATGAGGGCAAGAGGCAATGCCCCCCCTGCACACACACACACATTTGAGGTTGTAACTTTTATCATTGTGTCTTGAAAGACTCAAATGTGCATGCAACTTATAGTTAACATAGTTACAGTATCAACACATAATCATCATGCCTAGATTTTTAAATCACCCCATGCTGTACTAGAACACCAACAGCTGCTGAAGTCTTATCTTTAATTTCTGTTGTGTTGCTTTGCTCTCTTTTCTGCATGGGGAATAGGCTGCAAAGTCTTTATAGGGTAAGGCTATTTTGTGTGCAGATCCCAGCACTGCCAGTGTGTAAATAGGAAACCAGCTGACTCAGGAGACATCTGGATATCAAAAGATGTGTCAGCTCAGTTGATACCAAGGCAGAAACCCCTTTTGCAGCTCACTGCTTGAGTAGCAGAGGTTCAAAGCTGCCCCCATAAGATGTTTCAAGACTACTTTACCCAGTGACTAATAGCTGACTGGTGCCTGATGGGCAAGAAAATTGGATGAACTGATAGACCTTTCCACCCAAGGTGCCATTCCTTGTCATCTGTCTGTGTAGGAGGGCAGTAATTTTTCTAGATACTTTGACAGATGAAAGCATTGATTCTAGACAGCCATTCCTACTCAGATAAGTGATTCATCTTGTAAACAGTACCATATTCTCATATACTACATCATTTTCCAATATAAAAAGGAAAAACACATCTCTTTATTTTTCTGGATCCATGAGAAGGACAGAGTCCTAGCTGGTTTCAGTCTTTGATCAAGCCCTACTCTCAGGTAACAGTCTGAAAATATAGAAAAAGACAGGGAAATAACTTTAGAGTCCACCTCCCTTGCTGCTGTTATTCTTGAAAGAGATCATTTCTCAGGCCCCGAAAGTACCCACACCACCCCCCTCTTCCAATACTACTTGCAGCATTTGACCAATGCAGCACAACACCAAAGTTCGTATCAAAGGAGGAAATGGCAATTCAGTCTCTAACACAACAGAACAGCTGGCCCTGAAGATCTCCTAGCACAACCAGGATCCACGTGGCACTGGAAGACGGTGTGTCTGCCAGTCAGTAAATGAATTTAATTAAGCAGCAGAGTGACTGGTCTCATATGGCTGGAACTGTTGAGTATAGGTGTGTGTGTGCATGCACACTCTACACATTAGCAGAACCAAGCCAAACTGCAGAAGAATCCATAAACTTCTCTTGTAGCAATTAAGCTAAACAGACCCTTGCTCTGCCCATGCCAGTAGGACATCTACTGGACTTGACTTTTCAGGAAATTACTTACTGCTTGAAAGGTAACACATAGGAAGAAATATGTGCAAAAATACAGAGTTGTGAATTCTACATGCCTTGTTCTGTACTTCACACTGCTTTACACCAGTTTGAAGACATCAAGACACAACAGAATTAAGCATGTTAATGAAAAATAATTTAAAGAACATCTAAGAAAAATATCTCAAGATCAGGCTGTCCCCTTTTCAGGTCAGATTTGATAGCTTTGCTCATGGAAAAAGCATTACTTACTGTTATTAAAGGAAATGTGCCCAAGGCATTGAGGAAACAGTTCCATTTACTGAACCTACATGCAGCTATGCTTCTATATCCAAATGACATGCAAACTACAAGTATACAATCAACTGTGAAATATAATATATTCACTTTTTGAATATATACTTCTGTATATACTACTAACTAGCTCTCAGCATCTATTCATGCACTAATACCAAGACCACTCCAAAAACACCTTTCCTTTGCAGCAGCCCCTTTAGGGCAACAGAGACAAGGGCCACAAACTAATTTAATTGGCCAGCGGGGATTTCCCTTAGAGGAGAAAGCACTCAGACTATGTAGGACTGACATCTTACCCCGTTCCCCTTTTGTAGTCTGTGACAGAAATGAGTCTATTGGCGACAGGCGAGACACACCAGCCATATGGCCACGGCACTTTGTGTTACAACTATTGGGGACCAACCTATCTCCTAACAGGACAACTGAAAGTCACAATAAGCCAGTGCAGGCCACCATACACCTGAGGTTTTCCCTGCAGAGTTCTCGAAGATGGCAAGTGAGCTTCATGTTATCTTTGATTTAACCTTATTCCCAAAGAGTGCTTGCGGAGAACACCCAATGAGAGACTCCACCTAGTCTGCTGGCCTTTGCTGGCCTTCCATTCCCACTTTCTTATTTTGAACAGTTTCACTATAAATGAGTAAAATATTGGAACATTAACTTATATCGTACTGCAAAGTCTATTCCAGTAAACCTGTCAAAATTGGCATCATTAATAATAATACTTAACACTTACATAGTGCTTTACATTTTCAGAGCACTGTAGACATTAAGTTAATTAACAAGTGACAGTTTCACAAGCAGAAGCTCTCCCTGCAGCACTAGTCTGTATGCCTGAATTTCTCACAAAGTCTCAAACTCTGCATTAATCCACTTGTCTTTCATCCTTCTGAAAAGATTATCTTCCTTTTTATTCGCCTCCTTTGGACATATACACCCATGCTTTTAAAAACCAAGCTATTAAAAAAATTTAGGTGGAAGAACACTGACTTAACATAAGCTAATTGGAAAATCCACATTACCCTACTTTTCAGCCTAAATTACACAAAAATCAGAACTCTATCAAGCAAATATCTGGACAGAATATGTCTCTAAATGGGTGTAAAGTGTACTTAATATTGATTGCTCTGCAATTTCCCAAACTGTTCAGAAACAGAGAGACATAATTAGGTTTTATTTGAATTTTTCCTTCGGGTTTGAAAAGAAAGATGGCAAAAAAAAAATCAATACGTTAGTCTATCTACAGAAGTAAAGTAAGTGAAACCCTTGTCTCTAGCAATTTATCCTATGAATTCACTAGGGAGAACAGCAGTCAGTTCTAGGAGCTATATTTCAGAGGAAGCCGATGGAGCCGGCACTAATTTCCAAAGTTTAAATTTAGACATGCCAGTGTCACATCAGGCTTGTCTTCTACTCATAGCCCACCAAGCAAGATCAGCGCCCAAAGGACACAGTTGTATCAGAGGTCCTCCATATGTGGCCTACCTACTCAAGGCAGGGTAGAGCCTTACTCAATCTGGTCTTCATCAAGATACTCAAGTTTACAGAAGCGAAGGAACAACTTGAGAAAATTCAACAATAAGCCTGTTTTCCAAGATGCTCATGAACAGTAGAACCCACAATCCACATGGGCAACATAAGCACTTGCTGCCCAGGCGAGCCACGTAAGTCCCATGCGTCCACACTACAGAAACGCTGCAAACACCGTCACATCCCACAGCACCAGCCTCAAAGAGACCACCCAAATACAAAACCCAAACATTAGTGCAAGAGTAGAAAGAACTCCTCTCCCAGCCCCTCAATTAAGACACAATCTTATCTCCAGACAGCTATATGCAAGCCATGAGGATTTAAAACACCCTCACCACCACGTTGAAAAAAGCTCTCCTTTTGAAAAGCCCTCAGAATCTCTAGTCTGCCCTCCTCTGAGTTCCCAGCAACAGCCTCAGCATACACAACCAGAAGAAACTGAAAAGTCACAAGCAGCATAGCCATCCACCACCCACCAAAATGGCAGTTCTAAGGGTAGGCAAGGTGCTGCAGCTGGGTGGCCTACCTTGTTTGGGGGTGCACCTCATTCTTGCTGTGGTGCCTTGCTGCATGCTCTCCTCTCGCATTCAGTCACAGTGCCCTGCTCATTATGTGCCACCATTTTCCTCAGTACCTGTGCGACTGCTGGTAGCTTTTCTTAAAATCCCACCTCCTGGAGTCAGAGGGTTTGTGCTTTTCTGGCCCCGTTTCAAAGGAGAGGTTTGTGACTGTTGTGGCCTGCTTGAAAATATCAACAGCTAAACCACTTCAAACATACAGGTGCTACCAGAAAAAAAAAGAAAAAAAAAAAAAAAAGGAAAAAAAAAAAAGGCATTACAAGTGCCCTTCCCTCCAATTTATAAGCACCTGGAGCCCAGCATAGGCTGAGGGGACTTGGTCCCCTTCTCCACAAACTGCTCAGGCTGTGCCTCTGTGACTCTGGAAAGCAGCTTCACTGTACAGCACAACTGCTACGAGGATTTGGCCATGACGTGAATGTTAATTTATAGCGTAACAGTTATATTGGGAAGTGATGTTTCTTCTAAGTTAGTTCATGTGTAGAAGCAGGCAAAGTCCTGTGCATGATCAAGGCGTGGAAGGCAGGGAAGTTGCTGTAAACTCTTTCAGGTGCCACTTCCTGTGGGGTTAGACCTTCAGCTGATGGAAATCAGCATTTCTCTGCTAAAAGCAAATGGTCATATAGCCTGGTTATTCCAACAAATCCATTGCTTAAAAAGAGCATTGTAAGATCTAAATATCTGTTAAATTAACTATTTCAGATCCAAAAACTTGTTTTTCATTTCATTTCAGTATAAAGACATCTAATGCTAGTAAGCTGTTTGGTCATAATGTGCTTATGCACAAACATGCACACACAAAAATAGCCAAACTAACTTATTCAGCTAGGATGAGTGATTCTGAAACAACCTTAACACTACCGCACCAGCACACAGTGCGAACAACAATTCACAATTTCCCTTCCTCTAATAGACAGCTCAAACACTGGCGAAGCTCCTATCAGAGCATTTAATATCTGCTGTAAGCCTCTGTTTAGCAGGAAGATTACATCCCCCAGATTTCACAGTTCAAAAGTTCATGCTGTACTGTTCTATTTATAGACTTGCCTGACATTGCTTCTTCTTTAGTACAGATATTCTGGAAAAAAAAAAAAAAAAAAAAAAAAAAAAAAAAAAAAAAGAAAAAATGGAACATGATTTTAAAGAGTTTATTTTGTGCAGACAGCACCATCTCTCAGTCCTGCACCCAGTCATAAGGAGCTTTTGTTTGCTAGCATTAAGTTTGCAATTAAAATTTCTTCTGACCTCTCATTAGACTTGGAACTTTGAAAATAAAGTTACAATTCAGAACTGAATAATCAACACTAACATCGACATATGCTTTGCTTCTAGTTAATAATTTTATCAGGAGGAACACAATGATTAAAAATAATAATAATTTTGAGAGATCCACAGGTTAAAAATTACTTTTGCTGGAAAAGAATGGTCATGAACAGAAAGATTCTTCCAGCCTGTATTTGCTTGATTATTTTTATATCTAGTTTTCCCTTCCCATTGTATGTATTTTCTGTAGGTCTTTCAGCAAGTAAATCCCTCATACTCCACCTTGGTGCAGGACTGCTTTAGAAACACAAAATAGATATTTTAAGTCATCTCTAGATATTCAGTTCCAGAGAGATAAGACGCAGGCCTCAGTCTAATCTCATTTACACAGATCAAAATCAGAACTCATTTCACTGGAGTAAGCAGTGCGACACTGATGTAAAGCTGCACAGCTTCTTACTTGGGGCAGTTTTGTGTGTGATGTTTTTAACACATCTCTGTGCCAACTTATTTGAATGCATTCTTTAATCAAACCTCTCTTTTAAAAACAAGGAGGCACTCATGTTTGTGAAGAGCTCTGGCCTGCCAGTGCTTTCAGGTCAATGTTGTACACGCACAGCCTCCAACCAGCTTGACCCTGCCCTGATCTGGGGTTGGCAGTATCACGTTGATTTGCCTTTTCATTCCTCCGTGCAAATGATCAAATACCTATTTTATAACTGGACTAAAAAAGGAAGAAGGTAGTGAGAGGGAAAGCTTCTGAAGCAAATTAAGGAGAGGTCTCAGATTCACATCTCCTGGAGATACAGAATGAAAACAAAACTGCGCTGCCATCTTCATTGGCAGAATTGGGTCTAAGAGTCTTGCCTCTAAGTACGCATCCTTGCCATCTATTTAGCAAAGCACTTTATGATTGTTGAATGTGTTGACTATCTTTCAAGTGCTGTCATCTAGTTAGAGAAATGATTTACTTACTGATTCGTCTGAATATTAAAAACATTCGACAGCATTTCTCAAAAATGTGTTGCTTTGTAGTCAGCAATGTTGGTGCTGTGGTTAGTTTATTAAGTGAAGCACAGGTCTGAGAGACTTTTATAACTGAATCCAGCATGTTTGGGGCTTGTGCATTGTCTTTAGGTCAAGCCTAGCTGAAGTATCCCTTAGTCACTTGCTGTGCAGGGCGTCATCTTCAGGGAGCAGCTTCTCACCATCTTTTCTGCTCCATGTTTCCCCATGGTGTCATGGGCTAGAGGGGACACAGGGCTGTATATGACTTTTCTGCACTATGAGTAAGGATCAGAAACAGTGGGACAACCTCATTCTTTTCCACAGTACTCCAGAGGTCGTGAAGTATGTGCTTGAAGGCACATGTGTATTTAATCAGTTCGGACGTTAAAGAAAATCAAGCTCAATTTTATGCATGCCCTATCTAACTTGGAACCACAGTGCCCAGATTTCGGGCATATATCTTGCATCTTTACAAAGGAACACAATTTTCTGCCTAATGCTATTCCACTCCTTTTTCCCGAGGGGAATGCACCTTCTGAAGGCATAATCTGTAAGCTCCTTAGCCAGCGTATCTTCTGACAAGCTTTGCCCTGCTAGTCCTCACAAAGCAGCCCGCACACCCTCGGTTCACACTCCTCTCAGCTGAGATGACAGAAGCAGGGCATTCTGAGTGCCACTTCTCATGCTCAAACTGCGAGTAGCGAACTGCTTACACAAATCCTCCTCTTAAAGTGGCTGGCCCAGCGTGACAGCTTTCGGCGTGGTAATGCAGAGCTGTACACCTGCAAGAGCCAGCTAGCCTGCAGTGGTGAGAATGTTTTGATCGCAGACTGCAGTAAATATTTAATTATCGTGTGATTTCGTCTGTGGAAACCTCAAAGCATTTCTCAATATCAATACTTGCTCTAGTTATATGTAACCATCTTTCAACTTTAAGAAATATATTCAGGAGTGATAATAAATATTTCATAAAACTGTAACTAAAACCTGTTTGTAGACTAGAGGTGACCTGCTGCTTATTCTGAGGTGAAAGAAAGTACTTCAAGAGTGTATTAATTTCAAATAATTTTAAAGAAGTCTTGTATTTGTTGGATATCTGCTTTACCCAGCTGAAAATCAAGGCCACGATGACTCAGTCATTATACTGTAACGTGAATTCACTGTCCTCCCTTCATACAACATACACAGCATGATTCAAGGTTAAGCATAGAATATCAAAAGACTCATAGCATGGACAATTTTAATGGTAAAAGAACCTTGACTTTTACTGATTATATTAGTTCAACTAAAATTGACCTTCAATATATGAAGATTTCATTTTCACAAATAAATGGTATGACTGATGCCTTTTATTAGGCTTACAAAAAAGTAATCAGAATTGAAGCTTTCAAGGCCACAGACTCTTTTTCAGTTCAAATTACTGATAACGGAAGGAAACAGATATGAGATCTTAAAAGCTAAACTAATTTTTCTGTTTGTTAGTTTCTTAGTAAAAGGCAGTAGTATTACTACAGGGGTCCCACTAGCTAGCATTGCTGCTAAATAACAACATGCCACTTTCCAGCATCATCACCAGAGTTGTCACTTGTGCATATTTATCCAGTTAATGGGATGGATTTATTACAAGTATTGAATAATTTGGACCCAGCCTACACTGATGTATTTTATGGCATGTGGTCAACACAGCTATTACGGCATGGATCTGCAACTGCTCTATAAACTGGAGCATACAGTCATTAAAATGAATGAGCACAAGTGTTTTTTATGCTGTTTTTAATTATATGTTTATCTCCTTCTCTTTTATACTTCCATTTTATTTATACCACATGTGGTCACATATGGGCCATGGATGTCATCTTAGGGAGTTTAGGCAAACCCTAGGCAATCATCTTACTTTATTTAGGAGGGTATAACTTATCTTAGCAGCAATTATAGGGCTATACATCTTAATTTACATCCATATTCCTGATTTTCAGTGAAGTCCAATATCCAGAGACGAGGGTATGCTAAGCAAAAAGGAGCAAAAAGGTTTCGCTATCATGTGGCACATTGATTATCAGAAGGATTAGACTCAACTCCCTATTAGGAGTTGGACTCAATGATCCTTGTGGGTCTCTTCCAACTCAGGATATTCTATGATTTTAATGTTTATCACAGATTAAAGATAGCATTATTAATTACATTAGATGTTTACCTTATAAATTCCTGAAGGAGTTGCTTTAATAACTTTTGTAGAACAGAAAACCCTGGAGACAAAAACTTATGGAACTATTAGTTTAATAACTAATAGTTTGAAATTATAATTTAAGGCACAAATTAATGCTACTTACAGGGCTCAGTTCTGTTTTCTTTGAGTTCTGCCAAGTGGATAAATGTAATTCCCTTATGTACTGATGAAAATAAGTCTGAAACGGTAACACAGGTATTGGAGATATTGTACCATCTCTGATAGTACAGCTCTACTGCCAACAGACAGGGAGCCACTAGAAACCAGACTTTATGTAATGGTACATGAAACCCAGGGGACTGGTCTATGCCTCTGGGGGCCATTGGCATCATGTTAGGCCTGTAGTTTATGCCATGAAGGCCCTTTGACTTGTTCTTAGTTGGCTTATGGGCTTATTCTTCACATAATTTCAACAAAAATATTAAAAGAAAAGTAAAAGCATTCTTCAGTGAGTTGTATTGCCTTCAAGTTTGCTTTCTGTGAATGTTAATGCCAGAAAGCACAATCATCTGAACTTTCATGAAAGTCAAAGACACTGTTTTAGTCCATGTACTTTCTTTGGACAATTGGCAGTCAGAGACTTGCTAGACAGTAGCTTCCAGACACACATGCATCTATAAAAATTTGCATGTATATATACATTACTTTTCCCACTGGGTGGGCTATCAGTTGTACTCCCAACTTCAGCTCAAGGCCTATATCTTTCACATGACAGAATGTGAGCAATTTATGCATTTAACTAAATCAGCTTAACCTGGGTCAAACTACACCCATGTTGGAGCTCTGCCATCATACGCAGAAAAGAATTATAGATCTGATGGTACATGTTCTGATGAAGGAGAAGCAGTGACACTGGACTGATCAACAGTTTAACTATGACACTACTGGCTCCCTCTGAGGACAGAA